CACACACACACACACACACACACACACACACACACACACACACACACACACACACACACACACACACACACACACACACACATACACGACAACACACACACACACACGACACCACACATACACACACACACACACACACACACACACACACACTAGTGCCCTGGTCTTTGAACCGACCCACTGGTGATCTATTTATACACACTCAGCATCTCTCTGTGTTAGGCGTTATATTCAACTCTTCCTCAACTCTCTATGGATTTTTCTGTCGTACTTTTGTGCTCAGGAAATCTGTCTCAATGATCAGCTGTAATCAGAAATTTGATGCTACTACTACAATTACCACGCCCACGTTTGAACAAACACAGCCAGGGGGCTCTCGTGGCCTAGAGGTTAATGTGGTCGCCTCTCATTCAAAAGTTCGGGGTTCGAATCCGGGTAGCGACGGAAACATTTTCTTCTCTAAAAGTGTCTCCTTTCACCTGCTTTCCTGCTCTCTATCAATGTTCTGTCGTCTGCTTTCATCTCCACTTTCTATTCCCTCCCCCTCATCTCCTTTGCCCCCTCCTCTGGGCTCTTGACTCCTTCTTACTGCTGTCTTTCAGCCACACCCCTTTTCTTGTGGTACGAGAGATCTACACCTAGCCTTCTAGGACAAGGGTGAAAAATCTCGGAGGTACCGCGGCAAGTTGTGCACGTTAAAGATCCCTTGGTGGTCTGAAATCGATAAGAGTACGCTTCGGCCCCCACCCGGGCAAAATTCAAAATTTCCTACCAACCGAAAAAAAATGGTGTGTCCCGCACGCTCATATGACAGTATTCAGCTGCGAGCGCCGTAAAACACTTACCACCCCCTCCCCTCCAAAAAAAAATAAATAAATAAATAAATAAATAAATTATGTCGTACTTCTGTGCCCAGGAAATCTGTCTCTCTGATCAGCTGTAGTCAGTAACTTGATTTGACCACTACAATTACCGCGCCCACGTTTGGGCTAACATAGCTGATCGGAGGTCTCCAGGCAGTGTCATGTTGTGTTGCATCGTGGTGAAATCAGGCGCTCGTCACAATAATGAAATTTGAAATCGAAGAAATTGCCATTTAATGGCCCTTTTCTGAAATCAGTATTGTGTCCATTGAAAGCACATACTTTGTACTTGCGCTGCTTTTACTGAAAACATTATCAAAATCGCATAAAATGTAAAGTTTGCAGTTTTCAAGAACACTCCCATTTTCTCGCTGATTTTACTCCAGGAGACCCCCCCCCCCCCCCA